TCCGACAGTGATGGTGGATCGGGGAACCATTATGACGCAATTGAGGTGGGGTATGGCAAGGAAGTCATTGGAAAGAAGAAGAGTCGACCGGCGACAATTCCGCGTGGTTCTTTCAAGATTGCACGCTCAAAACTTGTGCCCAATATGAAAGCTATTAGCAGGTGGATTCAAGACCAGTATAATTCTTTTGTGCTGGAGGAAGCACTAAAATTGACAGAGTAGGGCGCCGGGATAGAGCTGAGAAGGTGGAGGTCCCGTGGCCGAGGGTGGTGAAAAAACTATCACGCCTACATGGGAGGCGTCGATGTACATGACCAGTTACGATTGCAACGATACGCCCTACAGCGCGCACTTCGATTAGCACTGACATGTACGAAGGCAACACCTTCGGGGACCAAATTCCTTCTGCCACACCAAGCTGCGAAGGTATTTTTATTTGGCCCCAATCAACGGTCAAAGCATGCAGCACGACAGGTGAACGAGTGGTGCGATGCAGACAAGCAGGCAAAGCGCCGCCAGATAGCTTGTAAGGTCTGCTTTACGCTCCGCCACGACACCAAGCGATAGCCTACGACTACACACTTATGTGGCGACTGTAACGACGTGGGACCAATCTTCCTCTGTATGCGTGCTCGACGAAACGTGCGGGGGATGACCATGACTTGCTGGGATATCTGGCACAAGAAATGGGTGAATGGCACGCAAGTTCCTGTGGAAGACGCGAAGCCAATCCGAGTCCGGTCATAAAGTAGACATGCCTGGCACTTCGTCTACACCCGGAACACCAGCTTCTCGCAAGAGATTTGGCACAAGATCGTAGTGCTATCACTGTCTTTAGCCTGCTTATATTCAACCCATGAATGATTAGCCTTGCTTTGGATTGATCACATGTAGGCAAGAAACAACAAAGCTTATTGAACTTTAGTGCTTCCTTCCGGTTTTTGGCACATGCACACCCTAACGTGCATCATGTACACCCTACTTTGACGCAAAAGTGAGTGTGTCAAGTGATTGCTCCACCGGCTGTGATTTGAGGCTTCTTGGTTCATTTGGATTTTGTATTGTGCACAGAATGCTTTCGATCGCATCAAAAGCTTGCGTTACTTGTAGAGGTGACACACCAACTTTTTATATCAGGTTTTGTATGGAAAGTGTTGATTTTGGAAAATGAGGGATGCAGGTGTATTCGTTTCTGTCCAGTGAGCCCGGCTAGCTGTCCTGTTCATTTCCGCACTACGTAGCATTATTCGCTTTGGCGTGCTCCATAGTGGTCAATTATGCAGCCTATATGTCACATTGACCCGTCACTCTTGTGGACACCTGGTACACGGTACCAGGTCCAGTAAGGGCATGACTTCTTAGCTCCACTAAAGGTAACCTTTAGTTTGTATGGAACCCAAGCTAACCTTACTTATAAATACATCAGTCTTACATATAAGTAGTAAACCGTTCCCTTTGAGGCCGGGAACACGTGGACTAACGTTCACTCGGGTAGTTAATACCCTTAAGCACTTCCTCTGTGCAAGGTGCTGTGTGACCGCGTCACATTCCTAAAGGTTCGATATACACAAATTGTAACTGTGTAAAGGGCGCCAACAAAATTAAGTTGGCCTGTTTTGGTTTTTGGTGAAAACCAAAATAGGTCGCCAGCAAAAAACAGAATGGGGTGCCAGCAAATTGTCTTCTCCCCTTTTCTGACATGGCACAACAATGCCATGGAGAGTTCAAACTATAGTCCGTTAGCCTATTGACTACATATTAGCCCCTTCAGACCGGGAGCTCGCTGGAACATCTATGCACATTATTAAGCTTAGAGTTTGTATTTAGAAAGGTGTAGGGGAAGGCAACACTCTTTTTATGTAACCTGGGGCACACTGGACTGTACCCCGTTTTTTTTACAAAAATAAAAGATTTTTTAAACACTGCCAAACTCATAGAATAGATATTTTAACGGCCTTGGCGGTAAAACTCGGTCCTTGTCGTCAATGCTGAGCTTATGTCTGTTGCTCTTCATGTGCTCTAAAATTTCGGATGCAGTAGAACATATGCATCTTTGAAAAACAATGGCCCCTCCCGTTGGGTATGCACTCGTACGTGTACAATTTTTGATGTCAGTACTTTTGTGATTACCGTACGGCAAACGAATTCTGGCGCAAATTGGGACACTCGAAGCAATTGTGATGATGTAGGGACATCGTCTTCACTTTGAGACAGCGCAGCCGCGATAAAGGAAGCTGCAGCTTAAAAGTGTACTAGTACACGCAAACGGGACTGCCAAATTAAAAGTGCAGCGAGCAGAGTCCGGATGTACAGTACTGTCTATTAATACAGTCCTAATTTAGCATTGGAGAGAAAATAAAGCAACTGCACGTATTGCACGTATTTGTCCCATTTTATGCTATCGTGGCTCATATTCCTGAGGAGAATCGAGTTGACTCCAATGCAAACCGCCGCAGTAGAGTTTCTAGCCCAGAAAAGCTAAAAGTAGTGATCTCTTGGACGTAAAAGTTAGGGCTTCGATACACATCTCGCCGCCCAAAGCACTTTTTGTTGGCCTCAAAGTCCAAATCAAGTCGGAGCATCTGAATCGCGTAGTTCCTCCGACTAGCTTCCAATCGGAAGCGTAAGATATGTGTCCATATCGCTGGGTCTGCATAATTCTCCTCAGGATCATCTTCAATTCTACTTGTGTCGACTGCCTTTTCTGTACTTTTACCCGTAAGTTTGTGTTGATTCCGATGCATAAAGAGAATTCCTCCATCGGCATCATGTTGCACCATCGTCAAGCCACAAAAATCGGAGCGCAGCAAGAAACCGTAGATGATGCCAGCCATAGCAGGAGGCGTCTGGATCATTGTGAAGGGGATCTCTAGTTTCAGCCACGCGAGGCGGAAGAGATCCTTATCCCCCCACAAAAGTCTCAGCGACGAGAAAAAGCTCGGCCGATGAAGCGCGTAAAAGCGCACGAGCGCCAATGGAGCTCCTTCGGTCCACCACTAACTGGCCACTTTCCTGTTCGAACATGTCGACAAACGGCATATCCATCAGCTCCCACAGAAGAGAATTCTCATTTAATCCAAAGATGGTCGAGTCTGGATGCCAGAAATCCGGCCAGAATATTGCGCCAGACTTTACGAACTCTGGAGACGTAAACAAGAAGCTCGAATCGCGCACGGGAACGTTGTCGGAATCAAGAAACAGCACGCGGTCGAAAGAACTGTAGTAGATCGCGTGGATTTTGGCCACGAACCGTTTAGCCCGCGGATCTGTGATCTCTTGGAACGTGATGTTGTCTTCTAATCTAGCCAAACGTCTTAATGGTTCTAAAATTGTAATATTGTTCATCTCGTCTGGACGATACCAAATCTCAACAGGCAAATGACAATGCAGCACACTACGCAGCACTCGAATGGTAGCGTACGCACTAGCATGGAGTTTTTAACACACCACCATTACAATACCATCACGTGCGGTTTCCTGGCTCTGAATCACATTTGGCAATTTAAAACTGGGCTTGAGCGCTTCTTGCGCGGCATTTTCAGCTTCCACGCGAAAATACACGAATTTCTGTGCGTCTTCACAGCGGAACGGTACTGCATGTATCAAACTGTTGCAATATTTTTGCATGACTCGAAAGTTCTCACCCGAACTCACATCTTCCACCTCGCAATACCCGCTCTCTCCTTTAGAGATAATCTGCGTGCAGTTTTGGTCTTTCTCCGGTTGTCTCGGCCCATTGGGCGAGCATCCACGTGTGGATCTCCATGCAATACACTTTAAACGCCGTGGCCTCGTACCTCCAGGTGGGAGGTCTTTGATCAGACGATCCTTGTTCTGAAATATCGACGAGGGAACTTGCAGTTCGTCGTCGATTGACGAGCCATCAAGTCGTGATGTGAATACTGTACTCTGAATACTGTAAGCCGACCATATAAGCATGACGCAAGCGTAAAGGACAGTTCCTAGTAGCAAGACGCGGCGTGTGGGGGTGTTCTGTTGAATCCACGATAACCACATCGACGGAGGGTTCAGAGGCAAGTTCTTCGGCGACAAAACCTTTTGGTTCGCGCCGTTGGGGGGCATGGAGTTCGCGACGGAAGGTTAATGAGTGCTGTATTGTCGAGTCTCATATGCAGAGATCAGAGCAGCAGGAGAGGCACCGATTATAAACCCAGCTTATTTTCAATGGAAAAAAAAATCTTTGAAGCAACATAAGCTTTGCTCGCAACTTTGCCGCATCATATTTAATACGATGCGGCAAAGTTGCAGGCAAATATCATTTATTCGGATTTTATCCAGAAAAACGTACTTGTAGGTCGCGCTTTCAAGCTCTCATTTTTTAAAGCCTTGCCAAAGCAGTCTGTAATTTTGCTTCTCAGTATTTTTCAATGGAATGGGGGTTTAGTGCTGAAATAGTGCGCTATTTGTGCGTGCTTTTCATTCATCGCTGACTCTTCTTCTCAACACAGAGATATGAGCTTCCTGGACCGATTCCAGGGGAAAAATGCTACCGTCACAGCACAAGGGCATCTCAAGAAAGCAGACGGGAGTGAGGAGATTCGAGTCGGCCCCCCCAAGCGCAGACCTCCACAACAACAGCAAAAATCCTCGCAGCAGCGTCCGGTTGAAAACAACAACAGCCCGTACGACGGTCAGACCATGCTGCGCCAGCCAGCGAAGATACAAGTTCGTACGACTGATCTAGGTCGAGCTGCTGTTAGTCCTTCACCCCCAGCTCAAACTCAGCGTTCCCCCGTAAGGAATCCCCCTCAAGAGTCCGCAGTAGTGTCTCCAAGGGGGAAAGCAAATAAGTGTCAATCCAAAAGTACTCGCGGGGTAGCAGACTACGAATCCTACGAGCCAACCGGAGTGCCAGGTCGCGTTCGGGATGATTACACGGATGCCCAGCCTTCACGCCAAGCTCTGAGTATTAGTTTACCTGACCGTAATCGACAGAGCTCCTTAGCGCAAAACTCTCCAAAAGAATGTCGATCTCCACGAGAAATCAACGAAAGTCGAGTTGTCACAGAGCAAGACCAACTTGCCTTCAGTCGCAAGGCTCGTACCGTGCAGTACGAACCTTGTAAGCTAGCGCAATACAAGAAAGAGAAACCAGACGGGTACTACGAACTGGGAAAGCTTCAGCCCGACCTGAACACTGACGAATTGGTGGAGAAGCGCGCGAAGAATGATCGTATCAAAGCATTCTCCCAGAATCTACGGACCATTAACAAAAACACGCAGTCAAAGAAACCAGTAGATGCGACTAAAGAGCAGCTAGCCAACGCTAAGCCCAGGTCGAGTCGGGAAAAGGGACTGGCGTTCGCTAAACGCGTTCCGAAACCTCGACTGTCCCAGAGATCGGACTCTGCAGAAGGGGAGCTTCCTACAGTCAAGGCCAGAGCTCAACGCAGTCAGATGTCCAAGCCAAAGAACCCCAATGTTGTACTGGATGATGACTCGAGACGACGAGCTTAGCGCCGAGCTGCGACTGCTGCAACAACGTCACGAAGCGTCACGTGCAGAGGTCGAAGCTCTGGTTGGGTCAGTCTAGTGTATTGACATAGCTGCTCCGCACTTTGCTTCACATTTCTTTTTTAACTTTAATATTAATCGCTACCCCCACGCTTGCGTGAGACTGTAGTTGAGCACCAGGACGTCGCCCACTTGAAAACTCTATCGTCCAGCACAATATTAGTCAGCTAGAAGGTCGGAGTTAATTAGTTGTAACGCTAGCTTCTAGCACCTCGAACAATGAGCTCAGTCTCTGATCCGGAGAAGGCGCGAACGAGCTGTTGCAATACACAAACTGCAAACATCAATGAGAGAAGATAAAAAAATAGGTCAATGATTCTGCAGTACTACCAATGACTCGCTGTCTTTAAGGCGAAGCTGCTTTCTTAGAAACTTATAGACGACACTGAGCTGGTCGTGCCCGATGACAGTGAACTTGGTGCGCTTCATGAGCGGCGCACTGCCCACTGCCACGAACTGCAGGGTTACTACAACACACACGAAAGAATATCTCAGTCTTCACAGCAAAAAGCAGCTAAAAAGTTTCGCAGCTATGTCGATACACTGTCAAGACCCTCCGACGCACCTTTCGTCGGCCCCAGAGGCCTTTCGGCCGCCGCATCACTAGCCACTACAGCCGCATCCGCCATCCTCTTCAGCTGATGAGTCAGTCGATAAATAGCCAATCGGATTGCGTTTGTTAATTCCATGTACACCACACCAAGTTCTCCAACACCATCTGAAGATTCTTCACAGAAAAAAGCTTCCGCCAATCGAAAAAACTCGCCAAGTTCGTGAGTGTACTCACTCAAACATTCGCCAAGACGTACGCCGCCTCTGCCCCCGCTGTCACTTCCGACTCCGACTCGGACTCTGAAGCCATGTACACGCCTGTGAGCGAGAGCGATCCGATGCTCATGAGCCCGAGCGGCGGCAAAGATCGACGGTCGCCGCCCTCCAGCGCCGTCAACAGTCTGCGTCTCGAATCTCCTGCCGCCAAGTGCAATGACGCTTTCTTTGCCGTCATGTTCCTCTCCAACGTCCTCGTTTTAGGCATTTTGGCCTTCTGGAAAGGAGTACCAGCCTTAAAAGAAGACATGGGTAGGAACAGGAGTGATGGTCGTATCCCTCAAGGACACTCCGTAGCGTGGACGATGATTGGTATACTCTGCGTGGTCGGCACTGTGCTATCTCTAGCCTGGATTAAGCTGCTCATGTCCTACGCGTCCTCCATGATTAGGGTCGCCCTATGGCTCAATGTAGGCATGGTGCTGGCCTTCGCCGTCTCCACCTTCTCGGTCAACGTGTGGGCAGCGCTGTTCTTCCTGGTCATGGCCGCTATCAACGTGTGGTACATCTACGCAGTCCAGAACCGTATCGGCTTTGCATCAGCCAATTTAAAGGCAGCGTGTGCAGCCTTACAGCAACATTCGGCTGTGTTCGTCGTGGCGTTTGTGCTTGTGCTGCAGCAACTTGTCTGGATGCTTCTGTGGGGCGTCGCAAGCTTAGGCATGCACAAGGTTTTCGTTGAGGCCGATCCGGATTGTGACCGGGAGATCGATCTCGCCAGTCGCGGACGTAGCCATGGCGGGCTCTGTGTCGGTCTACCAGCTTATGCGGCTCTGTTCTACATGCTGGTGAGCGTATACTGGGGCCAACAAGTGCTGCAGAATATCCTGACCTGCACGACAGCAGGCGTCGTAGCCACGTGGTGGTACCAGCCTAACGCTCAGAAGGCGACGGTCGGAGCGCTCTACCGCTCCGTGACGACGAGTTTCGGCTCCATTTGCTTCGGCTCGTTAATTGTGGCAGTTCTCCAGGCTCTGAGGACGATGGCAGACATGGCGAAGCGTCGTGCCAGTGAAGAGAACAATGGGGGACTCGCCTGTCTGGCCTGTATGGCGAAATGTATCTTGGGCTGCTTGGCGAACATCGTGGAGTACATAAACCACTGGGCGTATGTCTACGTCGGTGTGTATGGCTATCCGTTCCGTACGAGTGGCAAGGCTGTGATGGATTTATTTAATAATCGCGGATGGACAGCGGTGATTAACGATGATTTGACGTCGAGCGCTCTCTCCTTTGGGGCTTTGGGAGTGGGGATCGTCACCTGTTGCGTTGGAATGCTGATGGTCCGCTTCTCGCCTGTCGAGTGGTTCACTGCTTTGGGCTCCCGCATGGGCGTCTACGGCACGATGGCTCTAATTGGCTTCATGGTTGGACTGAGCATGGCCTTAATCTTGGCCCACGTGATCATTGCGGCTCTCCACACCATTTTCGTGTGCTTTGCTGAGGTAAAACCCGTGGTGGCGTTTTTATTATGTCAGGCCATGTATTTAACGTTATTTTTATGTTCATTATTCACCTATCAGGACCCCGTTGCGTTCAACCGCAACCACCCGAAGGAGTACGAAGACCTGGTGGCTGGCTGGCGCCAATTCCACGGAGACGCGCTGCTATCCGCTTACGGTGGTTCCGTCTAAAAGGATGCAATGAGGCTCTCGTTTTTGTATGGAGGATGACGACGATACGCAACAAGTAATAAAACCTCATTGAAGCTAAGACTTTGACGCTCTTTTCCTGCTTTCAAGTTGTAAAAGTACACGTATTAATATATAAAATAAGTGGCTCTCTTCGTCATCTTCTCGTTACGCTCCCTGTGCGAAGGTGTTTCCCTCACAGCTCTTCCGCCACAAAGACGACGACGTGCTGTCCAGTTGCTGCTCTCGTTGCTTCTGTACTGCAAAGCACTCGGCATAACGCGAGGTCTTGACAACTGCAACACTCAGTCCGCAACGCTGCGCTCGCATCTGCGAGTGGAGCGTCCACTGCTTGGACAAGTTGTCAAAGCGATGCACAGCATCCAGGTACTCGTCTTTCTTGTTGGAACCCCCCAAGCAGAAGACGAACGACTCGTTGAGAAAACTAGACGCCACATGGCCACTACGACAGTCGGCAAACGCGTCGGCGTCACTCCATACGCCGCTATCCAAGTCCAGTCGGTCGCTTGTGTTCATTCTCGACCCATGACGCGATTCCCCTCCATAGACCAGAATACTATTGCAGCGTTCCTGCACAACCGCCGCTGGACCATTGCGAGCATAGCGCATGCTCGCGATCGTGGACCATTCGTTGGTCTGCGGATCGAACACTTCCACGCTCTTTAAGTGTTTTCTACCGTCATACCCGCCAATAGCGTACACTAGTCCGTTCAGAGCAGCGACGGCCAGTCCGCTGCGCCCTGTTGAGAGAGAAGGCATACTCTCCCAGTGCTGCGTCTGGATATCGAACCGCTCCACAGACGACAGATGTGTCTGGCCGTTAAATCCGCCAACGGCGTAGATAAAATCCCCCACCATTGTTGCTCCAAGGTAGCTGCGTGCATTCTTCATCGCAGGCATCGACGTCCAAGTGTTGGCCTCAGGGTCATACACCTCCATAGTTTTATGATGATGGGAGCTGCTGCTAGTACCTCCCATGACGAATATCTTGTGGTCACTCGAGACTGCGACGCCACCGTACGAGCGTCTTGTGGCCATGGACGCTGCTGGGTGCCATTCACGACGATGGAAGTCCAGATACTCGACGGAATTGAGCGCTCCAGGGCTGTTGAACCCTCCAATGACGAACACAGTCGGGGTCAACTGACGCTTGGCGTTCTCTTCAATCTCCCGCGATAAGACATTGGCAGTGTACACGTCCATCGCATCATCAGTCGACACCGACGGCCGTCTCTCCTTGCTGTTGACCATAGCGTTGCCACTATTCCGTCGCTTCGGTGCTGTCTCGTCCTCTGTATTGGTCGGTAGCTGTAGCACTTCCGACAATTGTCTTTGTTTCGCTATGGGATGACGCATCATCCAGCTCTTCACCGCTGTGCTGTTGTTTCTCTCCTTCGGCCGCAGGATCTTCATCACGGCGTGTAGCGACAAGTTCTTGAAGCTCTCGCTCCGATACACATCGCAGAAGTACGTGTCGATCATGGCTCGTGCCGCTTGCGCTAGTAGTCTGCACGCCGCTCGCATCTGGAGCTGCTCACAGCTCATGTAAATCTCCACGCAGTTGTTCACGTTGATCTCCAGCATCAACTGCTTGCAGCAGATCTCCACTACTTCCTCCAGCTCCAGCCGATTGGCGGCATGAAGCACAGACAGGATCGTGTCTCCGGAGACCCTCAACTCGCCCATATAAACGTATCGTAGTATTTCCTGAAAGGCTGCAAAGGGCACGCCAGGCAGAGGAACGCGGGGCGAAATCTCGTGAGATTCCTTCATACCGCTGGTGAATAGAGCGTGGAAAAAGGGACTGGCAGTGGCTAGAATGACTCGGTGTGCAGCCACCTCCTGGACGTCACTCATTGCCTCGTCTTGAGACTGCAGCGGCTCGGGCTGCAGCAGCAACACGACGTCAGTGAGCTCCTGGCGCTGGCACATGGCAAATAGCTTGTGGCGTTGCTCTTGCTGGTCTCCAGCATCGCTGTGCACGGAAGAAAGCTGCGAAAGCATGGCAGGAAGCTGCGCTGCGCTGTTCTTCATGTGGGACGCCATCGCCGCCACTTCAGCTTCTTGGCTGCTTCGACCTTTCGTGGTCTCAGATTTCCGTTTCAAATGCAATTAGAAATGGAAGAGAAGACGCTTCTAAATGAGAAGTTGCGTCAAGGTTGCTGGAAGGTAATCACGGATTTATAAAAGAGAGTGAGTACTGCGCCAAACTGGGTTTGGGTTATACCGGATCAAATTTTTCGACTGGCTCTCGCGATATCCGTCCGGAGGTGTAGTGTATACTGTACTGTATACCCCTCAAACACCACTCATTTCGAGCAGAGCGTAAAAATGCCCCGCGACCTGCGCGTCAAGGCGCTAGTGAGAACGCCCCTCCGGCAGCACAGCAGCAGTATGGGGAGTAGTGTCTCGGAGTACAGTGCATCGGCCGTCTCCAGTGATGAGGAATGGGTGGATTCTTCTGAAGAGGTATCGAGCACCACAAGCAGCGGGACGTCGAAGTCCAAGCAGGGGCGGTCAGAGCAATTGGATCGTCCCAGGAGCGTTCAGGACGCCGAACATGATGACATGCAGCTCGAAGTGGTAGCCCCGCGCCTGGAGCGTTTTGAATTCGAATCGTGGGACGATTTGGACGCGTATTAGGTCGAATACATGAAGGCAACGTACCAGGTATGATAACGATGAAGATGGAATCGACTGTGCTCGTATACTGACTTCAGAACTCACACTATTATCTGTACAGAACTTTCGCGTCCGAACGAACAACACGGTTGCTTCCAGAAACAACAAGATCAGCTCGTCGGGCTCCAAGTGTGGTGTAGCGGGATCAGCAAAATCTGCAAGATTGCCAGATCCAACTTACCAACTGCGCCCAGACACCGACTAACGGAGGGGGTCCCCCGATGATCCGTGTTCTGCTGAACTTTCCTCACCTTGTGTACCCGTCGGTAGGGCGGGATCTTGCTCTCTCGGTAACTTCCGAAGAGTTCAAGTGGTGAAGCTTGAGTGTCTTGGCGAGACGTGGGGATGGGGTGGAGCAGCAGTGGAAAATCTTCACTCTGCGTCCGTGGACGGTTCCGAATCCTAAACAAATATTCGAGCTAGAATCCGCGACT